TCACCCGGCATGGTTGTTCGGCGCTGCTACAGGTAAGGTTGTGAACTGGCTGTCTCCGCGCACTTTATCTCGCTAATGCCGTCAGCTGCCTTTTATATCTCGTATGTGATCCCCATAGATCCCCGGCTGTCGAAACCGCGTAGCTCCCTAACATAGAGCGACCGCCACGAAGCTTGCCGAGCGGCGTGATCGCCCGAGCTGTCTCCTTCACGGCGACGTCAGTAACTTGTTTAATTGGGATTGTACCGGAGGATCTTGGCCACCGTTAGCAGTCCAACTAGCTGCTGTTTTGCCTATACGCCTTCTACCTCGGTTTGCGTACATGTGTTTTTTTGTACTGCGTTGCCTCAATTGTTTTGGGCCGGACCGCCTACACCGTTGTGCTCGGACGGCTTTACCCGGATGAACAATTTTAGCGTGACGTTCGATCTTTCCCTTCCCCTTGACTTATTGGGTCGATGGAGTTATCTTGTTTTCTTTATTGTTTAGTTTGTTCTGTATTTTTGTTTCTTTATAACCGGGTGAGTGAACCCGGTTGTATGTACGCGTGTTTAACGTTTTGTTTCTTTATTCTTTCTAGAGCTGAACGCCGAAGGTGGTGGTGTGGTGTCCCGGTGGTGGTATCCCTTTACTCGTTTGCTGTGGTCTTTCGTTTTCATTTATTTTGCTGTGCTCACTATTTTGTTTTTGTGTTCACGGGTGTCTTCTCCTGAAACCTCCCCCGCTGCCCTCGTGTCCCCTCCACAACCACTGGTAAGCCTCAGCGTTCATTATTTTGTTTATTATTTTGACCATTATTACCCCCATTAATTTCCCTTTTGTTGTGGAGATTGTGAGCGTGTTTTAAATTGTTTTATGGATCCTCGTATTTTATTGTAATAAACTTATAACCCCTTTTTGTACATTGAACCACGTCTTTGGCATCTTTTGTGATACTTACCTGCGTGACCTTATTAGTTAGTATTCTCTGGGTGAAATTCCCAGGATGGCGTTGCTGGTCCCTGTTCTGCCACAAGGTGGCACTGTAGTTAAATTGCCATAAATTGGCGCGATTATGTAATCTCGTGCTGCCACACCTGTGCTGCCTTCTGAGTGAGAAAGGGACGTATTCTCCTGATGGTGTCATCTTGAAAGAAAAAAAACAAAATGTATTAAAAAAGAAAAACAAATATCACATGGTCAAAAGTATTCAGGCCAACTGCTGTGACATTCATATTTAACTCACATGCTGTGCATTTCTTTTGATCCTCCTTGAGATGGTTCTACTCCTTGGAGTCCTGCTGTGTTTAATTAAACTGATAGGACTTGATTAAGAAAGGCAAACACCTTGTTAGAGCAAATGAGAATCATGAGGTTGAAGGAACTGCTCAAGGAGCTCAGAGACAGAATTGTGGCAAGGCACAGATCAGGCTCAGACTCTTCCTAGACCTGGCTGTCCAGCCTAACTGAGCAATCGTGGGAGAAGAGCCTTGTTGAGAGAGGTAACAAAGAACCCAAACCCCACTGTGGTCAGCCACAGTGATCTTTGGGTCCCAAAGCTCCAAAGATGCAGTAGGGTGGTGGGAGGAAGTTCCACAAAGTCAACTATCACTGCAGCCCTCAACTAGTCGGGGCTTAATGGTAGAGTGGCCCGACGGAAGCCTCTCCTCAGTGCAAGACATATGAAAGCCTGCATAGAGTTTGTCAAAAACACATGAAGGACTCCCAGAGTATGAAAAATAAGGATCTCTGGTCTGATGAGAACAAGACTGAACTTTTTGGCGTTAATTCTAAGCGCTATGTGTGGAGAAAATCAGGCACTGCTTATCACCTGCCCAATCACTGAAATATGGTGGTGGCAGCATGGGGGTGTTTTTCAGCTGCAGGGACAGGACTACTGCTTGCAATTGAAGGAAAGATGAATGCGGCCAAGTACAGAGATATCCTGGAAACCTCATCCAGAGTGCTCGAGACCTCAGACTGGGCTGAAGGTTCACCTTCCAACAAGACAATGACCCTGAGCACACAGCTAAAATAACAAAGTGGCTTCGGAACAACTCTGTGACCATTCTTGACTGTCCCAGCCAGAGCCCTGACCTAAACCCAATTGAGCATGTCTGGAGAGACCTGAAAATTGCGGTCCACCAACCTTTACCATCCAACCGGAACTGGAGAGGATCTCCAAATCCAGGTGTGAAAAACGTGTTGCATCATTCCCAAGAAAACTCATGGCTGTACTAGCTCAAAAGGGTGCTTCTACTCAATACTGGGCCAAATCTCCGAATACGTATGGCCATGTGATATTTCAGGTTTTCTTTGTTAATAAATTTCTGCATCTGTTTTTTTAATCTTTTTATTTTTTTTCTGAAGATGGGGTTCTGAGTGTACATTAATGCCCATAGACTACCCATAGTGACTCTCTCTACCAACAAACTCCTGGAACAATGAGTGCCTACAGGTATTTATACAGATCATTATAATACTGGTAGATTAAATCCAGCGTTCTGATTGGTTGAGAGTGAGTCACTGGGGTGCATTATTGAGCGATGTACAGTACCTGTTCACATTGACCCGAGCGTTCCATATCCCTGCACACTCAAAGTTTTACTTTTAGTTTTTAGCTCGGTGGCGATCGCCGAAAAAAAAACAGAAATCCAAAAAATGTGGCACAAATCTGTTTCAAGTGTGAACTTTCACAACCGAACAATTAAGGTGGACGTCATGAGCGATGTGGATGAATGAGATGGTGCTGGACCCACATCACATACATGCATTTCAGTTGGTTACATTAAATGAGGCTTAGGCGAAAATTCAGTCAGGAAGACTGTACAGGCTGTGCTGTTCCCTGGTGGCCTCCTCTCTCCCTCGGGCGGGGTTAGGTAGTATCAGACGTGGGTGTCGTTACCGTAAACCAATCGCATTGGGGCAGGCAAACGTTAAAAACTGTTCTCTCTTGTGCTGTCAGTTGTCATTTAGGCAGGCTCCAAAGGTGACCCGCCACCACCCCTGACACCTCCAATCTACACCCGAATCTGGCATAGCAGAAGAGTTATGCAACTTGGGTTTTTCCACCACCACCACCAGTGTCTGGACTTCCAAAGGGGGGGGGGGGGGGGTATGCCTCGTCTCGAGATCCCAGCCCCGGGTCTATCCTGCGGCAGGATGTAGTCCAAGCCCCAAACAACTTGCAATATCATATTATACCTGTTATAATAAAGCATTGTTCAAATTTCAACAAGTCTCTCTGGATTGAAATGCAATCATAGCTGTGCATTGGTATTATTCTGTTAATTAGTTTCAAAATTACAGTGGTGTGACACTATTGTCATTATTATTGATTACATAGTTTCAGAATCATGGCTGGTGTACACTAAATGCATTTTATTGGTCAAATGTATGAACAGTTATGAACATCAGTTTCTTTATAATAATCCACACTGACCAGAGGACCGGCTGGAGACGTCCACGGTTTAGTGGAGTACGTGAGGAAGTATCTTGTTACTGTCAGGGAGCTGCAGGACTCAAGAGTTCAAAAACAAAAGGGACTTTAATTGTCAAAAAGGTTTTCAAAAGCAAAAGGCCAAGGGGCAAAAAACGAAGACAGGAACCAGGAACGAGAACGTGGACGTGGACTAAGACTTCCATACAATGAACAATGACGCGACAAGTGACAACAGACACACATGGCTTAAATACACAAGGGAGGTGCAGGTGATTGAACACAGCTGGGAACAATCATGACCGCCCGGGAAGCTCTGGTGGGCTGCCTGGCGGGCAGTCAAGCAGCCGGGGAGCCTCTGGGGGTCGGCCCGGCGGACGGTCAGTTGGCCGGCTCCGGAGCGCCGACTGCTCTGGGACACGGAACACCTCCAGAGTGGTTTCCGGCGGCTCGGGGACACGGAACACCTCCGAAGTGGTCGGCGGCGGCGGCTCGGGGACACAGAACACCTCCGGAGTCTCCGGCTCAGCCCCCGCCATGGCCCCCCCCCTCGAAGGCCGGATCCCAGACGGCCCCCATGCCACCAAAGGGAGGGTGGGAGAGGACCACGGGAGGGGAGGGAGTCTTGGGGCCGGTACAGGCCGAGTCGGGGCCATGAGTTTCGGGGCCGGTACAGGCCAAGTCGGGGTCATGAGTCGTGGGGCTGGTACCGGTCGGGTCGGGGGCCATGAGTCGTGGGGGCCGGTACTGGTCGGGTCAGGGGGCATGGATCGTGGGGCCGGTACCGGGGTCAGGGGCATGGATCGCGGGGCCGGTGGTCGTGGACCTGGATCGGGGCGTCGGCTCAGGGGTCGTGGGCTTAGGTCAGGAGGCCGGGACGGGAAGCTGCTGCGGCCCAGCGCTGGACGTTGTGCGCTGCGACCCAGCAGGGTCGGGATGGCGCTGCGGCCCAGCACTGGACGTTGTGCGCTGCAACCCAGCAGGGTCGGGATGGCGCTGCAGCCCAGCACTGGACATTCTGCGCTGTGACCGAGCGGGGTTGGGGCGTCGCTGCGGCCGAGCGTGGAGAGCGTAGGTGGCCTGGAGTCAGACCGCAAGGTCCATTACCCGCTCCCAGTGGGTCTCGCCGGCGGACGACAACGAAATGGCCTCCTCCTCTGGAGACCGCGTGGTGGGCGGCGGATGGCGAGAGCGGCGACCCAGATGCCTACTGAGGGCTCCGGGGAGGAGACCCGAGTAGTACATGTATTCATCTGGAACCCCCGGGAGGACCGTTCCACCATTACGGGCGGCCCGCTGGAGACTGCGTGGACCACCCATAGCCAGACGGGTTCCCCTGAAGTCTTCCAGGGGAAAAAACTGAGTCCTTTTTTGGTCGCGTCATTCTGTCAGGGAGCTGGTGTACACTAAATGCATTTTATTGGTCAAATGTATGAACAGTTATGAACATCAGTTTCTTTATATTAATCCACACTTACCAGAGGACCGGCTGGAGACGTCCACGGTTTAGTGGAGTATGTGAGGAAGTATCTTGTTACTGTCAGGGAGCTGCATGGCGGGGAGGCAGGACTCAGACGCAGAGTTCAAAAACAAAAGGGACTTTAATTGTCAAAAAGGTTTTCAAAAGCAAAAGGCCAAGGGGCAAAAAACGAAGACAGGAACGAGAACGTGAACACCAATACAATACAATGACGCGACAAGTGACGACAACAGACAACCGTGGCTTAAATACATAAGGGAGGTGCAGGTGATTGGACACAGCTGGGAACAATCATGACATGACAGACAATCACAGCGGACAAGACAAGGCAGGAAGTGACGTGTCCCAGGGAGAACAGAGGAAGGAAACTACAAAATAAAACCAGACATTAACCCAAACCGTGACAGTTACTCACGTTAAGAGACTGCAACAGAGACATAAAGACAAACATGTGATGCTATTTTTCATAGCTAACATCCCCCAATATATTTAATTCATACAATACCATGTGTAGAAGATGAAGCCTGTGAATGTTTTCTAGATTATAATAACATGCGACCGATTGATAATGTTAGAATATAGAGCATTAAGTCTAATTGCTGTATTTCTCTTTTTTTTAATTAATTGTAGTTAATTAGTAATTAGTTGAGGCAGCACGGTGGCGTGGTGGTTGGCACTGTCGCCTCACAGCAAGGAGGACCTGGGTTTGACTCCGCCCAGTTGCCTTTCTGTGTAGAGTCTGCGTGATCTCCCTGTGTCTGCGTGGGTTCTCTCCAGGTTCTCTTGCTTCCTCCCACAGTCCAAAGACATGCTCTGGCGATCAGGTTAACTGGGGACTTTAAATTGCCCGTACGTGTGTGAATGTGAGTGAATGGTTGGTTGTTTGTCTCTGTGTAGCCCTGCAATTGGCTGGCGACCAATCTAGGGTGTACCCTGTCTCTCGCCTGAAGTTGGCTGGGATAGAATCCAGCCACCCCCGCGACCCTGTGTGCGGTTTGACAATGGATAGATGGATTTTCTAGTTGTATAAATCACTATTGTATTTTGCATTTAATGTGTTGCAACTCTGTTATGCAGTTAATTCTGTATGAATTACATTTTATTTAGTTCTGTCCATCCTGGAAAAAGGGATCCAGAAATAATCTGATTTGGGAGTTTTTCTCGTGCCGATTTGAGGGTCTTGGGACAATCAATGTTGTATGTGTGGAGATTGTAAAGGCCTTTTAGGAACATTTGTAATCTGCGCATTGAAAATCTAAAATAACCGTAACTTGTGCTTTAACACTAACCGTGCTTTAGAGGACATATATAGGACAACAGACAATTCATCATATTCCTAATAATGGGACGTGGTGGGTGGATGTTGTGCGGCAGGTGGTGGGCCAGGGTCATTTCCCAGGCATCGATCAGATAAACGTTCAGTCCTTTGAACATGGCTTTGAGCACCTTATCACACTGCAGCGAATACCAGTCGCTGTTGGTTAGGGACACTTGAAAGGTCAAAGCTCTGGAGTTTGCGGTCCGAATGATGACCATCGTGCCAGGATTTGTTTCCAGCAGCCGCACAACTGCTGTGCGGATGCTCTGCAGCCTCCTGATGTAGATCTCCATGGGGTAAGTGCTGATGTGAGCCCAGATGCTAAGGACTACAACAGTGTTGGGGCCTGCGTTCAAGTCATCTAGCTCATTAGCAATGTAACGAAGCTCTCTGGTTGGGATGGTGATCCAATGAATAGGAGGACCGTGGCAGCGGTACGTCACCAAGATGTTGTTTTCATAGTCTAAGGACATAAAAGGTCCAACTTGTTTCCGGTTGTGTAAGTCAAATTCCTTGAGACCTGAAAGTTTGACATGGGTAAAATATTTAACTGCAGTCAAAACAAAATCAAACAATCCTTAGAATCCCTGTGGATCAGTTACCTGGTAGAACTGCGTTGAGGAATTCAAACCACTGCCTGACTGTGGAGTCTCCATACATGTGAACTGCTTTGCCTTTCAGACACTGAGTGATGGCAGAACTGTTGAATTGAGATACTGTGGTGCCTCCTAGTGCTCGCCACACACCCTGGTAGTAATAACCAGATGGTAGAGATGTCACAGAGATGCTCTTCACCATCAGCTGACCTGAGAGCAAGTCAAGTCAAGTCAAGCTTATACTTGAGAGATAGATATATTGCTAACTAAAAGATAGCTATTAGTATGAGTAAAATCTTTCTATACCTTCTTCTTCTGGCAACACAGTGACATTGGAAGGTCCTGAAGCCTGAATGGAGACTTTCAGATTAACACCACTGAAGAAGAAAGCAAAAATAAAATTATCAAATGACCAATGTCTGAAACATAGTACAACAACTCAAATAAATGTAAAGGTGAAAGACATTTGAAATAATTTAAATCTAGAAAAATCAATTTTGTATGTTGCTTTATCAAGATTTATATACTCTTTTACTGTATTTTATTGTGTGATTACATTCTGTGACTAGTTTTCCATCCACTTCGTCTTCATCCCCATCACTTTCCTCCCGTTGTCTCCCGACCAGGTGCTCACCTTATAACTTTTGCCTATATAGCGGCTTCCTGCATCAGTTTCAAAACATTGGTGCTACAACAGCGTGCCGAGTAGGCGGAGACAAATCATATAGAATTTCCCAGAATAGCGTTGCTTGTACAACTGGTCAGCTGTTTTTTGATTTTAGTTGACCTGATTTTAGCGATTGCCACAGACTTGCCACTGCCACAAGGAGGATCTCGCTGTCTCTCTAATTCAGTGTTTTTTAACCTTTTTTGCGTCAAGGCACACTTAAGACACAGAAAAAATGCGGTTGCTCTGCAACACACGCAAGACTTTTAGAAGCATGAATTGAAACGAGTGCGTCGACGCAAAGACGCAGAACCATTTTTTAAATTGTCACCTCAGCAAATCTGCCTATTAATTACGCTGCGTACCGACACCCACAGGCAGAGGGGAGTATTGAGCCTTCATACCACCAACAGCGCGACGAGACAAACACACAAGTTTGCTCTTTTTTTTTCACCAATGAAGTGACAGTATGTAAAAAATGTTTTTTTTTTTTCACGGCACACCTGACAGCCTCTCGCGGCACACCAGTGTGTCACCGAAACAATGATTTTTTTAACAGTACAACAGCAAATAAACTTAAAGGAAGAGCCTATTTTTTCTCCGCTGATGAGCAAGATATGATCATGAACGCATATGAGGAGTTCCGAGGAATGCTGATGTTAAGTTTTCGGGACAAAGGATGTTACATATGTACAGACTGTAAAGCTCTCGGAGGCAGATTTGTGATCTTGGGCTATAGAAAATGTATAGGCTCATTTTATGTGTCTGATTTCTTTAGCTGTGCCTATTGGCAGTAGGCTTCATGGAATGCATCATCCAATTAGATCTCGCAAGTGAAAAAAAAAAGTGTCATATGTCAAATAAGTAGATAAAAACAAACTCAAAGAGTATCTAATTTTTACGAATTAATAGATACATATGTACTGTACATATACTGTACATATGTACTGTATGCGATTATGTGTCATATGTATGTGTAGATTATCATATAGAACAAGGAGTTTTATTATGTGTGTGTGAATCTGTCTATGGGCAGTTCTGTATGTATGTACTATTATTCATAAGATATTCGCAATTGAAGCAGTGAAACATCCAGAAGTTTATTAAGCGACAAATAAACAAACAGAACTTTACAAACAGCGCGACACGCAGCAGCTTTCTAGATGTTCTCTGCATCGCAAGACTGTACAAACATGTACACATGCTTCATGGAGCCAGAAAGCCTGATCTATATAATTGAGACACCCGCCAATGTGTTTACACATGTTTATTGGTGTTTACAGTAAATAGTGTGTATAGAGATTACTAGGGAACTGAAATGCCTTGTCGTATGCGATGTACATTCCACCCTGTGGCCAGCAGGGGGCAGGGTGGCGCTGTAGTCTGCTTTAAACGGCTTTACGGCAGCGGAAGAAGTTGCGAGCACAACGTCGCGAGTGACGTTCCCTTATTCTGTGGAGCGAGGCGCAATGACCAGACGTGTATGAGCTGTGTGTCATTTAGTGATGGGAAGTTCGGATCATTTTACGACCTCGGTGCTTTGAATCTCGTCCAGTAACATGAACGAATCTTTTCGAGTCATTCGTTCATTTGGGGGGGGGGGGGGGGGCGCAAACGAGGGTGTTCCACAGGGGGGGGATCGGCGGTGTGAGGGGGATCGGGGGTACAGTAGCACATCAGTGGCAAAAGTGGCAGTTCTGTGGCGTCGCAACAGGAATAGTTGTTCTGAACTCGAACTACCAACTCAAGTTTCCAATTTAAATACAACTTTTTTTCTTTACATGCAGCTCGGAGAGAAGAGAGCAAAAACAGCAGAGAGAAAGTTGACATTCCCCGAAGCACTTTCAGTGAGTTTGGAGAGCAGTGATCAAGGTTAACAGAGCTTCAGATCTTAGAATAAAATGAATACGAAAATAATATTGATCCATTTGAAGATGTTTAAGTGAATTTACAAAAACACTTTTGTAATATCACATTACTAGTTCAAAACGCAGATGAAAATTTGAAGTCAGCACTCCGTGCCTCTGTGGAGGGACAGATGAAAAAAACAAACTGAATCAATATTAATTTTTTTCTTTTTTGTTTGTATATACACACACTACATGTGATGTTTGCCTGCCTCCTTTAGTCTTTGTTTTAATATAGTAGTCCAACCGATGTCATGGGTATAAATCTGAATACTAACTATAGGATATATACACATTGTGACGCGTGGGTGTTCTAGGGGGGAATCTCGAACAGAGATGGACCACAGCAGAGTTGATAGATTCAGTCCTAGTATTGGCTCAAAAACCTACTTTGAAATAATAATAAAAAAGATACAAATAGGGGCTAATTCTAAATATATTGAAGAAATGAAATATATATTGATTATCCCCCCCAAAAAACAAATAATATTAAGAAGTGGATTTTGTACCACTGGTTTTATATAAGAAGGCTGCTGCAGGCAAAATTATGAGACAGACAATTTGTGGTCTGTTTTTTTTTAAGTGTGAAGTTAATGAAATTAATGACGTAAATGTTTGTGAATTAATTCCTAATAAATATAGGTGCTAGGAAGTCTGTGTTGAATGAAGAAATTATAGATTTCTACAACAACAATTAACAACAGATACATTCAATTTTTTAATAAATTTAGAAATGTGTGGTAATAAAATGATGTAGTTGCTTCGGATAACTGGACTTTATCTTTTAGAGAAAAGTATATCCTGCAAGTTATGTAATCGTTATGTTCAGTGAAGCAGATAGCCCAACCAGCAGCACTGCAGGCACAGATGAGAAAGACCAACAGGTAATGTTGGGCTAGATACATAGAATATATATCACACACACACACACACACACACACACACACACACACACACACACACACACACACACACACACACACAGTCTTGTTGAAATATAATTGGATTGCTTTTTAATTGTTTCATATTTTATAGTCAACGTTTATTAAAAATATATATATTTAAAATGTATGCCTTTTCATGATACTGACTTTTTTTCAAATGCAGAATGAGGGCAAAATCACAATGCTCAAACACACCTTGTTGGCAGCAAAGTGGTTGCAGACAAAAGCATTTAAGGGGAAGGTAACCTTGCCTGAAATTACCAACATGGACAGAGGCAACCAGCTACGAGCATTGCAAGACCTCAAGAACTCCATGGATGAAAATGAGGACGACGCAGACGCACCGATAAATGTCTTTGTCATGGAATTCCAGTACAGAAGTGACTACGAAACTCGTGGGACAGTTTATGAAGTCTCACAGTCCATACTTGCTCAAAGAGTGGGCGAGCTCAGTGTTTAATATATTTTCAGTTTTTTTTACTTGTTTATATTATTTATTGTTAATGTTCTTTTTGTTTACGTTTGTTATTTCATTATATATATATATATATATATATATATATATATATATATATATATATATATATATATATATATATATTATACACACACAGACACACACACACACACACACACACACACACACACACACACACACACACACACACACACACACATCCTTCCTGACAGTCTCTGCGTCTTATTTAATTCTTCTAATGGTCCCAACTTCAGCTCTATTGATTAGGCAAATATTTATGCTTTCATGTGTAACTGAATTTCTGTTCCAATAGCACTTTTCATTGAAAACATAACAGAATAAAATAACCTTAAAAAGAGTATTTTTGGAATAAACTCTGACATCTAGGAGGTATTATTGTGGCAGCTTGAATATCCTCTGACAAGTGGCAATAGGAAAAATAAGTGCAAGTCCTAGAATAACAAAACAACATGCTCAACAAACCCAATAAATTGAAAAACAAAACCCCACTCAAGTCAATCAAGTCAATAAAAAACAAGAAACAGCTCGGCAGCCTCTCGGATCGAGTGGCGCTTTGAGGACACCTAACAGGTTGCCAATGAATTGCCAGAGTGGCCACTGATGTGCCACTATGGCCACGAGTTGTGCCACTGAGTGCCACTGTTGCCACTAAATTACACACCGGCGATTCCCCCCGCGGAACACCGCCGATCCCCCCCGTGGAACAACCCCGTCTGCGCTCAGTTCACTCACCTCTGAAAGAGCTTCTCCTCCTTCGATGTGAGGCTTTGTTTGAATGCTAACCTGAAGTGGTTGATCCTGGTATCACAGCTCAGGTTCTTTGGCTTGTAACAGAACCAAGGCTCGCCTGTACGGAGGTCAGTGTAGTTACACTGCAGCTGTTGGGTTGGCCGGAGGCAGACGTTACAGATGGTGGTTTCAGAGAGTGAGCCTGAGCGGTAGAGGCTCTTGAAGTAAGTCCTGTCAGGCTGTTCTCTGTTCAGCCTGTCCAGCACTGTGACAGCTTCACTAGGATGAACCAGAGTCACCTGATTGGAAAGAGACCCAGAGTACTCAATGGAAATATACAATTCATGGCTAGAAATGACACATTGCTTTTGTATAACATGAACATGTCTAGTCTGTTAAAATGGACTTATAATTTAACCAATTTTACCATATTGACAGTAGAAAAAGTAAACTTAGTAGAACACGTTAACAGGCATACCAACTGTAACATAAGGAGGGCAGACTTTGTGATCAATCATTGAGAAAATGTATTTTTTTGCAGAGCTGTACATTACAACAATATTCATCCTCATCACAACGTCAACCTATGCTTCAACCGCTTATCCCAGGTCGCGTCGCAGGGGCAACATTTTCAGCAGGGTACTTCAAACTTTCATTTTCCATGCCACATCTACCAGCTCTGACTGGGGGTTCCAATTCATTCCCATGCCAATGCTTAGGTGATAATCTTTCCACCTAGTCTGAGTCTTTACAGGGGACTTTCTTACCAGACATCTCAACAGTTTTCTGCTAAGAACCATAGTGTGATACCTCTGTAATTGGCACACTCTCTGGTCCCATCACCCAGGCCTACCACTCCTTAGGCACTGTCCCAGACTTGTAATGTAATGTTGAAGAGCCGTGTCATCCAAGACAACCCCCCCATCACCTATTGCTCTCAGCGTATTATCAATCCCTGGGGCTTTGCCTCTGCGGAGTGGTTTGACGATTTCAGCGAGCTTCACCAGGCAATTTGACAATGATCCTTTCTCAGACCTCCTCTCCACCCGAGGGTCCAAAACATAACTCAATGGTGTATGGAGGCAACCCTGTTTTTGCTAACGGGGTGAACTCCAATGTAGCAGCTCTCACCCGGGCACTTATGAGTATCTCCACGACCGCCTGGCTCCTCATACCCCGGGCAACTCCATTTAGCCCTAACTGTCAATAACTGCACTCTCTGAAGCAATGCTATCAAATTTTTAAATTAAACTGCAAAATATTGCAGTTTTAAGCAGAAGAGCACACGTAGTGGTGGAAATTATAATACATGCAATTATGATTAGTCCTAGAATTGTGCTTGGTCTGGTATTAGATATTAGTTATTACATTAGCATGTTAGATATAAATAACTTCAATATGAATTAAACACAATTTATAGTAAAATAAGTAGTTTGATGACTGTAATTAAACTACTTCAATGACTGTACACATGACATCCAAAGTGTAAAGTTAAAGCATCAAGGGGAAGGACGCTTAACCCTTCCTTGATGGATTTCTTCCACGCTTTCTCCGTAAAGAGGCTTTTTGGAGGTTTGTCTCCTGTAAGGCTGTTAATAGCCAAAAGATGAAGGACTGCCCTGCGAGGCAAAGATTTTGATTTTGGATCCATATAAACTGAGTTAAACATAATGGTTAAAATACGATGAACTGTGATGACTTAAGATGTGTTATTATTAAAGTATACTCGCTCTTAGATGATATCAATATTATGCATGCTTTGTTATGTTTACATGAAGAAGCTTTAAACCAAAGGTGTGATCATTGAGTGTATTGTAATATTAAGTGTATAATAATAATATACAACCATCAGCACCGGTTCCCCCCAAGGCTGCGTTCTTTCCCCTCTGCTCTCCCCGTACACCAACAGCTGCACCTCCAGTCACCAGTCCGTCAAGCTCCTGAAGTTTGCGGATGACACCACCCTCATTGGACTGATCTCTGGTGGGGACGAGTCCGCCTACAGGTGGAGTCTGACCATCTGGTGTCGTGGTGCAGCCAGAACAACCTGGAGCTCAACGCTCTAAAGACAGTGGAGATGTTTGTGGATTTCTGGAGGAACAGAGCCCCACCCTCCCCCCATCACCCTGCGTGACTCCCCCGTCACTATTGTGGATTCCTTCCGTTTCCTGGGCTCCATCATCACCCAGGACCTCAAGTGGGAGCTGAACATCAGCTCCATCACCAAGAAGGCTCAGCAGAGGTCGTTCTTCCTGAGGCAGCTGAAGAAATTCAACCTGCCAAAGACGATGATGATCCACTTTTACACGGCCATCATCGAGTCCATCCTCTGCTCCTCCATCACCGTCTGGTACGCTGCAGCCACAGCCAAGGACAAGGGCAGGCTGCAGCGTGTCATCCGCTCGGCAGTCGGGCTCATCAACAGAGCCCGGTCCCCCACTGACTGACTCTGACATCCCACCGATCACTCTCCTTCATACTGCACATGTCACTTTAACTGTCATTTTTCACTCATCACTTTCTCGTCACTCGTCACTTTGTCACTTGTTCGCTAGTGCACTTTATTTTTTTATTTTAATTTTTAACTTTAACTTTTATTTAATACCAACCCATAGCCTTATTCTACTAACCCATAGCATTAGCGTTTCATTTTATTTTATTACTTGTGCACTGCTGTCTTGTTGTCTATTGTTACACTGTCTACTGTCACGCACCAACCGCCAAGTCAAATTCCTTTGTAATTGTATTGGTTGTGTTAGTTATTAAATCTTTTATTCCAGTGTGACTAGACGTCTCAGCCGAGGCGTGGGTAAAAGGGAGCGTTCCTTGATCCGAAGTTCAGAACTCTACACCATTAAGCAACAACACACTTCTTCTAGAAGACTCGCTTTTTACAAGAAACAAAAAATTTCAGAAACAGTATCTCTCTCTCTCTCTCTCTCTCTCTCTCTCTGAGTATCTTGTATTTGTTATCGTTTTATTTTATGTGCGAACCACTGCTTTAACGTAATAGTTTTTAGCATCACCTCAACCTGTGCGTCTCCTTCCCAGAGTAAAGAGAACACAGCCGAGTAGCTCCCATTCAGATGGTCCACAACTTGCCCGGCCACACCTGCTTCAAGCTTCCGGTTGTGCAGACGGGCAGTTATGAAGTCCCCCCCAGACTTCTTTGGACGACCTTGGAAGTCAAAGGTTTGTATCATAACCTCCAGCTGGTCCCCGACATGCCACTGCCCCCCTTTCCTCCCTTGGAGAATGGTGAAGGTGCTGTGGGCTGGATCAGTGGTCTGCTCCAAGGAAATAGAAGATGGCAAAAGTGGAGTTTCAGGCCAAGCAATGGAGTCTAGTATGAGACGTTCCTCCAAAGCGTCCTCGGGGGACAGCGGCTGGAAGGTGCAGAAGCTGCGATTAACGATATGATGAGGGGAGACTCTCGGCATGATGATGGTGGACTTGACTTTAGGCTGAAACTGGCAGGGGGTCAAAAGAAAGATGATGTCAAAATACATCAAACATTGCATGGCCTTTTGAGTTGCAAGGGTTGGATAGTGCTCTATATGGTCTGCTTCGCCATACTGAAGGTGTTCAGGCTAGTTGGGCCAAGATAAGTACTTCAGTAAGAACAAATGAAAACTAGTAGGTTGGACAACGTTTGTGTCTTTACATATCTAGGTAATTATATACTTTTTATAATCCACCATTATCACATTTTTTACAATAATTCCAGTTAAATTTTCCCACTGACCATGTCTCTCTCTTGACGACCCCACCCTCATATCTTCCCAGCTGATTGTGTCCACCTGTGTCTTTTTGAAGCACCCTCCCCTTGTGTACATAAGGGAAGTACTCTGTTGTTCGTTGCAAGTTTGTCTTATATCGACTACAGGTTGTCAGGACCCCAATACTTAGTAAGTGAGTAAGTGATTTACTGATAGTTTGAAGTTACAACATTCTCTGGATTCCAGCTCGGCCTAACCCTTTGAAACTTCTGCCTTAAACTATTTGTGTACCGGACCTTGTCTGTCATTGACTAAATTTATGAATAGAACCTTCTGTGACTTTTACATCATGTGGGTATACTTGTCAGTTATAGAGTAGTGCTAGTTTCATCCTGTGACTGGAGCTGCTGCTGTCAGCATGTCAAGGTGCAGAATTGAGGGAAAACACAATTTTAATCAAATTCCAAATATTTGCAATGAAGGACATTAAAACACATTTTGAAACTGCCACAAAACCTGAAAAACATTAAATAATTGAAACAAGGTCCTCCCTTCAAAAAAAGTTCTTACTTGCAGAATGTCCATGTGACGGAGCACAAAGATCAAGGCAAATACCATCAGAAAGAGGACGATGGCGCCAAAATCTTTTCTTGTACAAAATGTCTTCATGGTGAGAAGTCTTCACCTTCAGTGTAGCACTTACTCTGGAACAGTGCATAAAGAAAGATTTATACAAGAACAGGGCTGTCAATAGATATCATCTAACATTTTTAAATTATTTGTTTTCTTCTGGGGTCTCATTTATAAACGTTGCGTACGCACAAAAGAAATGTTCTGCAATAATATTGGCATGTTATGCAATTCGTCCTCAAAACACAGCGGTTGCTTGTCAGATGCAATCAAACGGACGGTAAAAAAATGCCATGATGCCATCACAATGCGTAATGATGCGTAATGGCTGATCTTGCGCTCTTAGAAGATGTGGCACATGGAAGGATTCGCGCTGTAGTGCAGCGCACCACCGGCCTGTTTAAGGGCAGATGACGCTGCCTCGAGTGCACTGGAGGGAGGTTATTGTCTACTCCTGAAAAGGTGTGCAAAATCGTGCTGGCATGTGCTGTGCTACATAATGTGGCACAGCTTCCAAACGTGCCTCGACCCCCCTGACGCCGATGTTGGCCCAGACCCTGTCCCCGATGCCCAATCATTGCCGCCAGTTTCTCATCAAGAGGGGACAGCTCCTACGCTCCTGTGCCTATTTGGCATTAGTAATGCCCATACTGTGCCCTCCAAAAAGCATTTTTGCTTCTCCTTTCCACCTCCCAATGATAATTTCGACTTGACACTGAGTGAAGTTATGTTTCTTCGGTGTTTGTCATGATTTCGCAATTGATGAATATTAATTTGTGGGCGTACCACAGACTATATATGGGTAACTATGGGCGTGACATGAAGCCGCAAAACGCTGCGCTGCATTTAGAAGTGATTGTGATTTATTAAAAGGCACAGTTCCGGGCACTATCCGTCCTAAAGTGGTCCGTTTGCCACTCACCTCCCCTTCTGTTTGATAGGTCGCGGAATTCCTCAGCAGTTTGCCGCACCTGTTTTTACTTCCAATGTAAAAAGCGCTCGCCATCTTCAACTATCTGACTGACTGCTGGTGGTTTCAGGGGTCAGATAAACTTACACCAGGTGGCGTGGTGGTTAGCACTGTTGCCTCACAGCAAGAAGGTCCTGGGTTCGATTCCGCCCAGTGGCCTTTCTGTGTGGAGTCTGCATGTCCTCCCCGTGTCTGCGTGGGTTCTCTCCGGGTTCTCCGGCTTCCTCCCACAGTCCAAAGACATGCTCTGGGGATCAGGTTAATTGGGGACTTTAAATTGCCCGTAGATGTGTGAATGTGAGTGTGAACGGTTGTGTGTCTCTGTGTAGCCCTGCGATTGGCTGGCGACCAATCCAGGATGTACCCTGTCTATCGCCCGAAGTTGGCTGGGATGGACTCCAGCCCCCCCGCGACCCTGTGTGCAGAATAAGCGGTTTGACAATGGATGGATGGATGGATGGATGGTATTTAGAAAGTTCCAGCTGAACTCTTTCTAAATAGTAATATCTGCTAGCTAGCCTTCTGTTTGACAAAGGTCACGCTGGCCCACGGACCAATCTCAGCGCAAGTTACTGACAAACCATATCATCCCTATATACTTTAAACTGAAAAGTTGCGGTGACTGTTGCGCATGGAGGAGACTGTGCAGGGTTAGCGATTCCATAACCAGCTGCTCCGTGTCAAAGTGTCCTTGAGCAATACCCCTAACTGCTCCCCGAATAAAAAAGGATACTTTCTTCTTATTTTCATACTTCGAGGACCTTGAGCCTCATACATGTTTTTAGTCATAACAAAAAGTGTAACCATGGATTAAATCTGATCTAATAGACTGTAACTCTCAAATCTTGTGAATATACTGTTGTCAATGTTTACATTGAAATATCTTACTACAAATACTGTTGCAAGATCAAATGTAGTTGACCGCGCACATCGGGGCACCGGTCAAGCGGCTACAAACGGGGCCGAGAATGCCTGCGGCCGTCGGACAAAGCGTCCCCAAATCAGTCGTCATTAACCGCGTGGACAGACGCCGAGAATGAAGCTTTGCAAACTTCATCTTTAATATTATCATGGTCTTAGGTCTTTTCTGTCAACATTTGGGAGGGATCTGAATAATTTATGAGGAACAGGCTAAGGATGTCATGTCACATGAGAAATGTGGAGCAGATTCTGCTAAAAGTTTAATATTTCTTACTTTTATGCAATCTTTAAAGGCAAAGCTCAAGATCACACTGCTCAAATTGGCAAAGAATCAGGTTTATTCTCTGGGAGGAGTTTGGTCTTTTACAACTCTAAAAAACAATGGAAATGGGCAACAAAAAAAAAAGATTAACTAAAAACGATTAACTGCAGTGTCCCTGAGTCTTTAAATATCATAGGTTTAGGGGTGCACTATATACATATGCTACAAATGTGGTGAGGGCATACAGAGTCATTTGGACGTTCTGAGTCTTGACATACTAAGCCACTCCCCATAGAAGTTCATTGTCCCGTATTGTCTAAAAACAATGAGATATCAACAAGCATTATATGATTTCTGATGACATCAAACCAATATTTTTCCACAGAAAATCCTGCGAGTAATGGAATCAGCGTTTAGGAGACCTGGGAGCCAAAAGTTAGTTTTTACTAAATGGAAAATGGTGGAAAAGCTAAGTAGGCGAATTTAAATACCATGATTGACTTTTTTTGTAGCACATGTGTGGCAAATTTCATGTCAATTGGGCATCAGAGGTTAATGTAGTTATTTTTTAAATTTCTACGCTATTAGACATTTTGAAATGTAAAACTCGTTGTTGGAAAAACTGTAAATAATGTGTGTCATGATATCAATAGGGCTAGACTACACAAGGTTTTTGCTACCCAGCTGGCAGACATTTTGTTTGCAGAGATTAGGGCGCTGGCCTCGGGGCGGACGTTCTGTCCCGTGAGAGTAAACAATAAGTCCTCTGTACGTGCGTAACCATCCCTATGTTTTGATGCCATACCTGCAGTATATATTCCTGCTCCAAAGATGAAAACCTTTGAGCAGGCTTGGCGCATGACTTGTATGTGTGTCAACTCTGTCTCCTGTTTGCGAATAACCTGTTTTGATGATTTTACGCCGGTGTCGAGTAAGAATTTTTCTGACACTCGTGCAAGTTTTTTTTATAACATTACATGGCAATAGTGATTTACCGCTAAGCTGGGGTAAAGTGAGACACAAGACCACTTGTTAAAAAACAATCATATTTTCACTGCCCTCTGTCCTGAAGACATTCAGTAATTTCCTTTGCTAGGAAACATCCTGAATAAATGGGAAATGTGGCCATTTTACTGATATACCATTGTAGCTCGCATATAAGAGCAAATGGAAAAAGAGTCTTCCATTATCCCGCTCTCCCCTAATAATAATTCTTCGAAACACGTTAGGGCCTCGCCCGACTTTCAGTCAGCTCAGGCCTTAAGATCAAGTGTTTGACGTAAGCAAGTTTCTGTTGAAACCACCCGTAACTGATCTGATGATCAAACTGGTCCGGCCTGATTGTAAAATGAAAGCTGTTCCTACTAGTGAGCACGTAGCTGTTAAGACCTTTTTTTCCTTGCAAGGAAATGAACAGAGAAAGATATTTGGTTTGAGAGACGTCATTCCTCTTCTCCCATTGTCTGTGCAAATTTTCCACATAAAACAAAATGCCTTCAAGGAAAAAAAAAAACAGAATTTGACACCAAACGAGGATATGTACCCCCTCACACGTTTGCATCATAGTAGAGGGGTTCTACTTATATCTACTATTACAAAAAACAGTCTCAACGTAACAATTTGCGGCACTTTCCCTTGTAGCATCATTACCATTTATTTGTTGAAGGTATTTGACCTGTCTTGAAGCTGTGCATTGTATGTAATATGCTCGGTCGAACTGGATAATTTGAGTCTTTTATCTCCAATTAAACAGTTTCCTATTAAAGGTGTTTTTGTCATGCAGTCCAGTTGACTTGCAACTGTTTATCTGTTTACACACCATAATCCAAATAAGTCTATAAAAGAGAAAAAAGTTCCTCATTCATCTTTGGAGTGATGGAAGGCATTTTGATTTTAAAAAGGTTGAGGAAGTTCACAATCAAGATGAAGACATTGTGGGTAACTGAGTTAATTAAATAATACAAAATAAACTGTAAAACATTAGATCACCTGCCTTTAGTGCTTAAAATGGCATTTCCACTACAAACGGCAAATAATTCTGGTATTGAATTGCAATTTTTTTGACTGAAATGACAAAGCTAGATCTAGCTTGACTTTCCAGTGACAAAGGGGCACTAAAAGGAAGCAGAGACACCCTTTTCAGTCGCTTTTCTTGGATTAATGTCAGGATATTGTATCATGTCAGCCTGACATGCATGCATGACTTGTATGTCTTTAAATTCTGTCTTCTGTTTGCAAACATTAAAGATCCTGTTTAAGCATTTTACACCTGTGTCAAGTATAACTCTTCTAATAGACAGTATGTCTAATATTTTTGTTGTAAGAACACCTTTTTTTGCAACAAAACTTTGTAGTAAATAATCAGCTTCTTGCTTCTTTTCTGGTGTATTTTAATCCTGATACTTTTACTAACAAGTTTGATTCTATGAACACGGTCATATATTTTTAACTATGTCAATATTAAATTGAGAAACTATCCAATAATACAGTTAAATAACACAATTGGATCAATGTAGAAGTCAAATGCAATGTCAAACAAGCACATAAGTTACAATATAACTGAAAATTGGCTCCATATTTCATTCACACATTTCATGTGACTTACCTGAGCAAATATTCCTTTGGAGATTCTAACTGACAGGATGTGAGTCGCCACTTGTTTTAACCGGTTTACCGACTCAATGTACTCTGTGCGTGACTTTCAGCCTTTATTTAGTTAGTGACTTCAAACAGATTTGCATTCTGAATCTACGTCAGTCAAGTATAAATGCAGGAACAATGGAGTGTCATGTTTCATGTTAAAGAAACCTTTTGCAATAGCAATCATGACTCCAGACAGCAGTACGTCGTTATTTAAACCACAATAGTTATGTACAGTGCAAGTTTCTAAAAGCTGCGGATAAATGTTAACAATCAATTTAGACTTACTATTTTTTACTAAATTTGCTATTGTTTTTTACTTTAGGCAGACTTTTAAAATTAAATGATTCACTCAGTCACACAAATAAATGGTAGGCTACAGACAATCTGAATAAGAAAAATCTGGTTCCTCAGTGTTGTCTCGTGTTACGTCCCTAAAGTGTCTAGGGATGGAGGACGTAAACAAGTTAAAATAATAAACCCAGGAGATCTGGACCAGCGGCAAAAGGATATTTAATGATGGAAAACAACACAAGGCAACTGAAAACAATCTCCAAAAGGACGACGCGTATGGCCCCTTCTTCACTGGCTCCCAAAACCACCTCACGGCAGCACCTAAAGCCTAGTTTATGCTTCTGCGTTTTCCGAGCGACGCAGATACTAGACCCCTTGAGTGTCCCTTGCGTGCTTGCGTATGTCGACCCATTTTTCCCTCCCGCAGCGCACAAAGCTGCGATTCGTCAGCTAACTACATCCTTTACGGAGTCTCACATTTCCGTTTTCATAGCACAATACCACCATTATTAAAACAAAGACTGTTTAGGAGAGAACGGATCAGATTGAAGAACTTTTGTCGGAAGAAATGCGTAAATACGCTTATACACGCAGTCATTGGCGGGTTGTATAAGCGGGTTGGATTCATGGACGAAGATCTCCGCAAATGCCGGTTTGCTGGTCGAGGGGAACAAAGTTGTGGAGGAAAATACGGGACAAATGTGTCGGAGATGAAAAGCAGCAGTGGCGATGCACAGGGCAATAAAGTCTATGATACATAAACAAACCAACAACTTCCACACATGAAGACATGACTCTCTAGGTCGTCTTCAACAAAACACGTTACTCCACCTGTTGTTCTGGCGGTGAATTGCTCTCCAACACACGCAAGACTTCAAGAACCATGAATTGAACCGAGTGCGTCGATGCAACGACGCAGAAGCAACGCGCCGGCCTTAAAACCTCTCTGGTTCCGCTCTGGCTTCCACTGAAGCAACACCCCACTCTGGCTTGGCACATCCATTTAATCCCATACTGATCAGCTGCAGGAGTGACGTCGCCAGCACACCTGAAGAGAATCACACCCATTCGCACAGACACACACACACACGCAAACACAAACAAGGCACGTAACATCTCGTTATTCCAAGTGACTTCTGAAAGATTCCACAACGCCGAAAGTAAAGGAATGTCTGGCATCAAAAATATAAACTCAAACGGTCCAACATTTGTCTGGAAGAAACATATGTCTGTTTTCTGTAATCCATAGTTCTTTATTATTTATAAACATAATAAACCTGGGATTACGGGTTACAGGGTTGACGTCAAACAGCTTGACGTCTGTCTGTTTGTCATTGTGGAGATGGGTTTTATTGGGTTTGGCCGTGATTAATAAAACAAAGCACAGCATTCTGCAGTCTTTCTTTCTGGGGGGGTTTGCTTTTACAATTCAAAGACAATTCGAAGGTAATTCGAGAGATTGAACAAGTCAAGGCACCTCAGATTGGCAATGACAATTGAAGACATGAGAGAGCCTTTAGCAGGGTTTTGTTTTGGGGTAGGCTACACGCTACAATAGCCTGTTTTCAATACACTAATAACCAAGTTAACATCTCAAACACTCCTTTTGCTTTTTAACAGGTTCAAAAAAGGACAACCCACTATCCTAAAAGGCAGTCTCACTCCTACAGTCCCATTTATACCAAATCAACATTTAGACATACTGTTGATGAGCTTGGATTTGACAATTGCTAATTAGGGAAGTGTTTAGGAAAAAACATTTATAGAAATGATTGACTGCCGTCAATCTGGTGGAGAACTTGAAGACATCTTTATCGATTTGAGGAGCTTCAATGTGATTTAACAAAATTATCTCAATCAGGTGCCTCTGGTGAGGCCCGGTCAGTGCTGGACAGGCTGAACAGAGAACAGCCTGACAGGACTTAATTCCAGAGCCTCTTCCGCTCAGGCTCACTCTCTGAAACCACCATCTGTAACGTCTGTCTGCGGCCAACAAAAAACAGCTGCTGTAAAACTACACTGACCTTCGTACAGGCGAGCCTTGGTTCTGCTACAAACCAAAGAAACTGAGCTGTGATACAAGGATCAACCACGTCATGGGAGAAATGAAACCACATCAGAGCCAATGAGGAGAAGCTCTTTTACAGGTGTGCGGCTTCTAAATACATACATCCTGGCATGTCTATGGTCTCCTGGTGGAATGTTTCAAAAGTCAGCCCCTTTTTATACCAGTTGACACCAAGATATGTTGGCATTCATTTAGAGTTGTGTTTAATATTTATTTTCCTTTTAGCTTATTTTGTTCTTGATCAACGGCAGAGGGAATATCTTCCTTTATCTAATGTGCCGCTAAATTCAACACACTAGCAGTTGACTGTTTAGGGTTTGGTAGGGTAGTGTACCATTCACTTAGCCCCATCCTCCACTGATACCCGGAAGCCTGCACTCGCTGAATACGTATCTATATCTTTTTTTACAATATGTTATTGAAGGCTATATCAAAGGGATCCAGCATTTAAAACGTGTCACAATTGGCCAAAGCTACCCTTTGACTAGGCTGGACTGCACTTGATTGGAAAAGGGAACAGGTACATTTGTTAATAAGCGCAATATATTCAAATTAAAAAGAATTGAAAAAAGTGTTTATGGGACAAATTCACATTTTTTCATTCTTCAGTTTTTATATATTAAGGTCTTATATTTTTCACTTGCAATACTTTCGGTTGAGGAGGTTTTTAGCCTTCTTTGTTAAGCTGTCACTGATAATTAGACATCCATCTCAGTGAATCAAGACGGATCAAAGCCGGAAAGTCTGTATATGAACATATTGTATATCAATATAAGACATCAAAGACCAGAATATAGGTTTCCTTTAATCCATTGTCCTTTAATCCTTTTTTTTTTTTACAAAGTTACAAACCAGTTTGACAAACCAGCCTGGCGTCAGTCTGTCATGGTTCAAATCTGTTTGTGTGTTTTATTTCAGGCGTGATGATAAAACAAGAAGCACAACCTTCTGCTCCCTGTCTCTGGGTGGGTTCGCTTTTACCCTGCATTGCCTTGAGGAGACGTAGGCACGCGAGACTTGAGAATCCACCCTTTCTCTTCACTGTATTTAAGATTGTATGTAAAACTATTGACACCAGAGACAAAGTTCTGTTTAGCGAGCTGTTTGGGATCCTACTTAGCATGAATCGCTAAATTAAACCAGGTCACCATCTCAGAATGAACCATTGGGGAAGTGAGCTTCCCTTTTTTTCCGGGGGAGTGGCAAACTAATCCATCTTATTTTATCATTACAAAACTCAGGCTGGACCTGAAGCAAATGAAAAGAAATACAAGGGTGAAACCCTCACCAATTATGCCTCACCTTGTAAGTTACAGTGAGACCTACTGAAACCTGGGAATCTGAAGGGAGGGAGAAAATAGGTGTGGGGATTATATAGTGGAGGACACTAATTGATTGCCAGGAAGTAAGAAGGGGATTGGGTCTACCCAGCCCTACGGTAGGTCAGGAGGGACATTTCACTGCCGGTTATATAAGGTTATACCACAGTCCACATAAGTCAACAACAGTAAAAAACTAGTTAGCAAAAGTACAAAAACAGTGGATGACAAGTATTTTGGCTTGAATACTGTTTTAACTCAGTTCTTTTTAAAAAAAGAAAAGAAAAGAAAAAATGTAATTCTTCACATATATTATTTGATATTCGCAAAATTTTTTTGTTGAATTCAAAATTCAAGGAACTCAAACTTTCAGATTCAATTTTCGTTTTCAAATGATCAAACCTCATTTGGCTCCATGAATCAGCTCTCCAGCAGGAAGCAGCTGCCTGCTGCATCTCATGAAATACTTAATGTGATCCCTGTGATTTACTTTGGTTTGGTCCTAAATTGTCAAACTGACATTTTAACCTACTTAAAGAACATACTAGAATAACTACAGTATGATGAACACAGTGGAGCACCAAGCAGCCAAAATATGTTTTCCTGTGAAGTCGTTTGAGTCCAACAAAGGGTTGAAGGGAAGGAGAACATTTGACTGGTGGCCAGAAACATGACTCTCCCTGTCTGATAGCTATTAATATACCCACCCAGCAGCTAATTATTATTTACACTGCTTGTCTATTGTCCAGTTGTGAAGGATGTCAAAGTGCTGCTAGACAGAGAAAGGTCGGAGGGCGTCAGCAGCCCGTCTAGAGACGATGACTCCACATTGCTCAACCAGGGAACCAACAGCAGCATCCTCGATGACAACACAAAGCTGGACTCTGGCGTCCGGGAGGTCAGTGGTGAAACTAGATGAGGTCATTGCTCCTGTCCAGCCGTAATGGATGATGAATTAGAAGTAATTTAAAACAAGGAAGTGGACTTTTCCTCTTAATGGCTTGATACTTTTGTCCTGTTTGTTCGTCTGTTAGGGAAGGAGTAAGTCCAGCGGCCTTTGCTTCAGCAATGGACGGAGTCGCATTGACTACATCCTGGTTTACAGGAAGTCCAACTCGCAGTCAGAAAAGAGGGAGATATTTGAGAGGAACATCCGTGCGGAGGGCCTCCAGATGGAAAAGGAGGTAAAGGAACATTTACGCTTGCTGCTTCTTTAATTATGTTGACGTCAGTTGAGCTGCCTCCTCATGTCTCTCACACAGAGAGACAAGTTGTTGTTTTTCCCAAATGTAGCCCGAATCTAGTTACGTGACAGATGTGTTGTCATGAGTTGCCAGAAGATATAATAAGGGGGGTCTGCCTGAGGAGTGACCTTCCATAATCACATTGGCCCTCCATCTTAGTGTTAATGAAAATCTGCTTTTGCTGTTCACTAAACCTTTTATTTTCTTCTTTCAAGTTGCCAAGTAAAAATACCCTAATAAAACACAGAGCGTTGTAGATTCACGTTGGACAGATGATTGGATTTGCAGCGATTAACTCTTTGTGTGACGAGGCGATTTAATGCTCAGCCTATAAAGCATGTCACCTCAATGGCCAGACTTTTAAGATGCTTTGAGCCTTCGTGCTCGGTCATACAACATCTGACGAGAGAGTGCTGCCGCGGCCGATACAAATGTGCTGATGACCATTTTGTCCTCCAGAGGCTTTAATCTGAACGAGTGGAACACGTGCCTGTTGAGGTATGTGTGTGTTTGTGTGCATCAACATCTGCAGTATCTGCCGACGCAGTAGCATCAAGGTCATAATTGTCTAGAACACGCCGGGTTAAACAACAATCCTTATGTCCCTCAATGTCGGCTCATGTCAGTTTTAATATTCCAGCAATGTACAGAGATGATATTTTGAAGTCGTCTCTATTTCAACACTATATTTGTCTTTTCTTGGGTTTGGTTTCTCCTCAGGCCTCTTTGACAAACAGTGATGTGATTTTTCTGAAGCTTAATGCACCGTGGGATGTCCTTTGTCGCTATGCAGAGCTCATGAACATTCGCATGCCCTTCAGGTGAGACAACTAACCCTCAGAATTGACTTTTAATGGAAGAACAAAAAAAAGGATTGAGGTAGACTGCAGAATTTTCTTGTGAACACATAAAAGTTATATTCACACTCGCCTTTGTTGCTGCACTACTGCGCTTCTTTGGTCCAGCTGTCAACCAGCAGCAGAGATGCTCCATACACTGCTCCATAGCGCTATCATTGGTTGAAGAACACCACTGGCTACATTTAATGTACTGTAATATATGTAGAGTATCGTTTTTGTTATTATTCACATTACTGAAAATGCACTATTTCCGGAGATAACTCTTCCCAACGTCCTGCATATTCCAGGAGGAAAATCTTTTTCATGCACCGACGGCACAAGTTCATGAGCAGGTGAGTGAGCTTGGCTCGCAGGATGGAGAAGCGCATCAACAAGGTCCGCGGCTGGCTGCCCCGCAAGCCCATGAAGTTTGACAACGACGCTCTGCCCGACCTGGAGGAGAACGAGAGCTTTACCGCCCCCTTCAGTCGATCAAGGATACACCAGTGAGTTTTTGTTCAGCACCTTACGAAGTCGTCCTAGAGAAATGACTTGAACTTCATCCAACAGCGGTGCCTGGTACATTTTTTTTTATTGTCACACTTTCTTTTTACACTTTTGCCACTAAAGGTTTTCTCTGTTGCCGTTGGCATATTAGTTGACGTTGTACACACAAGCAAGAAGTATCATTCACAGCAGACTGATTTGTACTAACTGCTGCATTTCTCTGCAGTTTCATCATCCACAACAGAGACACTTTTTTCAGCAACGCCACCAGAAGTCGCATCATCCACCACATCCTCCAGCGGGTCAAATATGAAGAAGGTAAAAATAAGATGGGTGAGTTTCCCTTTGGGCACAATGAAAAATCCTCGAACTTTCTTAAATACGAGAAAAATGGTGATTTTGATCAACAAAGGTTTTTAAAAAATACAGAGACACTGTGTTTGATCTTGTAAGGCATTACATTGTATTTCTATTTCCCCCATCATATATAGTTATTGGAAATTTGGTTAATAATGTTTCTTTTTATCTTTCAGTTCAATAAAGTGCTCACTAACAATATGTGCATAGGCTGTCACTTTGAAAAATGTAATTAAAAATGAAGGTACAACTAATTATAAAATATTGAATTTGTTCAAAGGAATCCCTACGAAACCCAATAATCCTGAACTGGTTTGTTGAATTGACATGGTTTTATTCTCCATTTTCTCCAATACCTCACTTTAGAGACAGGTCAACGTTACTGTGAGGGACTTATATTCTACATAGTTTACAAAGCAAACATGTACCCAATTTTTACAATCTTTACTGCTCAAATTAAAATGGACAGTAACGTACAAATCAGACTCCTGTTTAATTTCTTTCCCTCTTCTCTGTTTTTGCTTCCAGGGCTTAATCGTCTTTTGAGCAATAGTTCATATGAGGCAGCTTTCCCTCTTCACGAGGTAAGTTGGCCCATCTCCTTAAAATCATTAATTGATGGCATTGTCACATTTTATGTCATCACTTTCTTGTAAGTGGGCAGAGATTCCATGTACCAATATCAGAAGTTGATTTACCTACAAAATGATTCATACAGGGATTCACAGATGTCTCATTCCCACCATTTTACAGGAAAAACATATTTCTGGGCCGTGTGACTTGACAATTATTTCAAGTTGAAATTCAAAATATTGGCAATTTTGTTAAATTTGCTCCCAAGCCCGGGACTTCTCTTGGGGGCTTGATGTATTGCAGTTGTCAAGGGATTATCTTAAGATGACAAGGACACAACACGGTTATTTTAAAGTTATAATCTTATTAAACATTAAACAAATAAATTAAATCATTATCAGTAATATCTATTTCAACTATCAGGCCTATCAACTATCAAATTCTTCTAACTGGACCTTTTCTTATTCTTCACAGGTCACCCATCTTTTTGACAACGAAGCAACTGTTTTCTTTGCTGTTTTTATGGCTGTTTGGGGTGAGTTGAACAGTAAACTAATACCAAAACATTCATTTGTGTATTGTATCAGTGATTTTGTCTGCTGTTTGGTGCTGGGAGGGTAGCTTAATACGGTGGCTTTATCAAACCTTTATCCCTGAAAACAGATTCCCTCTACTAATGGAAGTGACACTCGTGAGAGGCTGAACCAAAACATTAAAGTTCCAGGTTGCAAAAAACATTAAACAACCAGCTGAAAGGCACTAAAACATGGCAAAGAATTAAAAGGATTTTTTTGTTTTTTTGCCGGTAGGATTAACACCTTCACATGTGACCCATTACTCAAATAAAGATATTGATTAGTGCGGCTTTAACTTGTTTTTTATTAAATTATTGAAATAATAACAACAATACATCACAGATCTGTAAAGAAAAAAGTATTATCGCTACATTTTAAAAGTGACATATGGTATTACATTGCATGTAAAATATACATTATTTCAAAAGGATGCAACTGCTGCATTCATCACGAAGGCATTTGGGTATCCACAAGAGGATTAGGAAGCTGTCAGCGCTGAACAAGGTCCCAGGGTATGGGAGGTGTGAGCAGAGAGTCCGTGATGGGCTCACACTCTCCTGCAGCTGCAAACCGGGCCGGTGATGAAGCAGCAGCATCAGCATCAGTGCACAGCAGATAACGGGCCTGTTTATACCTGTCTGTGTGGAGGCACGAGGTGTCTGAGGGACACAAAAGGGCAAGAAAACAATCACTCTGTTGAAGAATAAACAGATTCAGAAGGAAATTCTTCCAAAATAGATTTGAACCTCAACGAGGTGACTGTCAAGGCAATATTTAAACCGTGACAAGTGGTCTGCCCCCCTCCCCCACCACCCCCCTCCAAGGAAGAGGCAACAGTCAGCATCCAAGCTGCTTCTCTCATTTCATGCCTTACTATCTAGGGCTGCACAGAATACATTGCGTTTGTGTAGGATTGTGTCGGATCTATGCAATCTAAATAATTTGAACTCCGCTTAACTTTTGCAGGAAAGTGTTATAAATGTATTATTATTATTATGATTAATAACACGCAGCAAGTTACAGTAAATGCTCACCAGTGAGTTTGTTACCAGTCTCTGAGTGTTTGAGAGCTTTTTGCACTCTGTTGTCGAATCTCCAACATTTCAGCATGAAGAACAGAGCTAAACACAGCTGTAGGGTAAAGGTCAACACGCCCAGCACGATGATGATGTTGTTAACTGTTGAGAGTAAAGAGGACAGAAAGGGTGCAATAAGTAATGTGGCTTTGTAGCACAACGCATAGGCTGGACACCAATACTGCAAGGATATTTTGCCCTTTAACTAAAGGCATATGCACTCCTTGCTCTATAGAAGCACTTTGTTTTTCTACTTCATGAGAAATTTGATCCCTGCGTTGTTACACACAATTTAAAATATGTACAGGAGTTTAAAGGTATTGGAGGGAAGAGCTCTAAATGAAAAGGGATTTGTTTAATTTCTGTGACCCTCATACTACAGTATATTCCTATAAGCATGTTGGCACATACATACGCATTACAAAAAATAAATAAACAATTTTCCATGGAGAGATACTTTACTAAGATATGTAAGTAAACTGTTCCTTGCAATGTTACAGTACCAGCTGCAGAGCGGTGGGGTGTTGACTCCCAGCGGGTGACCTCTGGCTGAGTCAGGTTTTGGTTCTGAAGAAATCCCATCAGTCGGATCATTCATAGAAGCACTGGAAACCAAGACCATTTCGTATTATTTAATACCAAGTGTACTATATATAAAAATCCCTCTGCCCTGATAGATTTAATTTCAATAAGTTATGGGCTAAGAGCAAATCCCGTTACTGAAGATTTCTTGTCCTGACTATGCCGATTTCGGTTTCGATGGCGGTTTCTGGTCTGCTTGTTGTGTGGAAAGAGACCTACACAACAAAAAGACCTAATGTTTACTTTGATTATATGATTCCCCCTCTTATCTAACTTTAACAACCTGCAATAAGTTACACACCTCTGAGCCACTTGCAAATGTGCTAACAAAAAAAATCACGCAGCAGATTTAAAGGGAAGGATAAAAGGATTTATATTTCAAAATAAGCGTTGAAAAGCATCATATAAGCAAAGGATACAACATCAAATCCCCAAAAATACTGAAGGTGTAAAAAAAACAAGTAATGATCTGTTAAAATATACACATACAATGTAGAGGAAAATATATACAAGACAACACACAAGGCACTCAAAATAAAAATCTAACTAAAAGCATGATTGTATGATATTAAAAATTTGTACACGGAATTCTATGAGGAGCAATTTAGAAAAAATAGCTGCATAGATACACTAGAGCCCAGTACAAAAAAGTATTGTTAGTATACTGACCTCAGAATAACTGCTTCTTGCCACTGCTGCTGTCCAAGTGAATATGATTTTAGGGTTTGACTGCAGGGGAATTTTGCTCAAATCCTTCATTAAGGTTCCTCAGAAGTGGACTCCCCTGCTGTCTCCACATGGGGAAGCGCTGCCCTTCCCAGACAGCTGCAGCCACACACTTAAAACACACCGCTCGGCGTTTCACGAAGGACACTATAGAGAAAATAAACTACGAGCTTTCAGCAGGCTCCAGTGTTCAGTGGCATGATGTGTTTGTGTCCAATAAGTAAGCTATCCAAAGGACTTTGTTCAGCCGTACCTCGCCTCCATGCGAGGACACTGTGACTCTGTCTTGTTGAATAAAAGACTGCACCGACATCCTCAACCAAATGTATTTTATTCAAGATCCCCAGAAGACGGACTGGTTTATGTACATTATAAGTCTCGACAGAATGTTTCCCATGAAGCACTCGTGTTTATTTTTTTGTTTTTGAGAGAGTAAACTCCCCTTGCATGTTTTTTGGTTTTGTTGATGGAACCCACTCATTTTATAACCTCATATAAATAAACCAACTCAGTTAATATAGACGGTTTTGATATGTAGATAACATAATTTGCATAAAATGATCACATACTAATACCTAACACTTTTTATTTTTATTTTGGCATTTCGGATAGCGACGGTCTTCCTGGAGTTCTGGAAAAGGCGCAGGGCGGTCCTCGCGTACGACTGGGACCTCATTGACTGGGAGGAAGAGGAGGTGAAGCACTCTTTTATATTTCTGCATTCGTATTGAATCTGATCACAGATCAATTCATTTTTTATTCAGTTTCATTTTTGTAGTTACATTTTGCTAATGTGTTTTTTTTTTTAAGCCTAAGACTTTTATTCTCACACAGGCAATATTTCTTACTACTGAAAAAATTATATATATCCTTGTTTGCAGGCATGTACCAAGGGAGTCTCAAACGAATCCATGACTCACTGAAAATGCTCCACTAAATAGCTGTCGTGCAGCAATTTAGGTTTTGTCAGAACTTTTAGCAGGTTTGTAATGATTCTGCCTCTCCCATGGATTGTGGATTAGATTAGAAAAGATTTATTAATCCCCAGAGAGGAAATTTCTTTGCCACCAAAAACTCAAGACATGACAACACATAAATAAAACCAACCCTCTTCAAACTCAAACTGCTAAACGTGTTCCTTTGGAGCAAGGTTACTATCGTTAACGAAAACTAACGAAAACGGAAAAAAAAATCACACCTTGTTAACTGAAATAAAAATAAAAACGAGCCTTTATAAAAAAAACGATAACTAACTGAAACTGTATTGTGTCTTTACAAAACTAACTAAAATAAAATTGAATCATAGAGAAAATGTCTTTAGTTTTCGTCTTTGTCAATGCTATAGAACAGAGGTTCCCAAACTGAATGCCGCGGCCCAATTTGAAATCTGAAAATCTTTCGCGGCCCACCCAAACCTTTAATCACAACTCTGATCAAAACATAATGATTAAATGACCTTAAGAATTTAACCCAAATCAAACACCCGCGAGCAAAAGTCCGTCTGGCGCGAGCAAAGGTTCGTCTCCGTGAGGTATTTGCTCGCTTGCGAAACGTGAACTTCGTTGCTCACGAGGAGAATCTCTGCTCGCGCTCGAAGGAGTTTTCTACGCGCTCGCTGTTGTTCTTTTTGACAGTAAGGTGGAGACGGTGCTTTCAGGGTCCGATCGATGCCGTGAGGTGCGTCCGCTCCCGCCGCCCCCCTCGCCATCCACGCCTTAAATCTTCGGCTGCTTTTACAATAACTTATTTCCCCGTTAAGATGGTTCAGCTACTGTAGAGAAAAGGGCGCCGTCTCTCGCTCTTTAATCTCATGAAGTGCTCGGCAAGAACGACAGCTTTGTTTCTCTGACGCGCCCTGAAACAAGCTCCATATCTCACGCGCTTGAGCGCCGCTCAGCATCTCGCCGTCGTAGAGGAGCTTTGGCATGTTTGAGCGCCGTGTGCAACCAGTATGGATCAACCGATTAACCAATTGATCCATATATATAAGGCGCTCCGGATTATAAGGCACTGTCGTTTTTGAGAAAATTAAAGGCTTTTAAGTGCGCCTTGGAGTGCGGAAAATGCGGTATATTTACTTTAATACTACAAGAGGGCGCCCAGTTTGTTGAACAACGACAGGCGGACAAGAGCAGCTGTTTCGAGCGAGAGCCTTATTGTTTTATTAATCTGTCCGTTTAAATTGTTTGTGCTTCATCAACTAATGTTTCACATACCTAATGTGCCGCATCATAAATATTTTTATATTAGTTTCAAACTTTTAAAAATTGAAAATTAAAAAACTTTATTGATTTATTGTAAATGACCTCTCGCGGCCCACACTTTGGGAATCACTGCTCTAGAGTTTTTATTGGGTTTTAGATTTTTTTCAGATTTAGCTCTCTGAGACTCCCGGCTCCCAAGCAATGTCATGTGTGGCTCATTAATGGGTTTAGTACATGCTGTTGACGTGTGTCTTTAGTCTATTGGCTTTTGCATCTTGTGTAGACGGTTTACATATTTGTACCCATATCTACATTTTATGTTCTGTTGTTGATATTGTTGTGTCCAGTGGAATTTTTCTGGTTAATGACACAAACACACTGACTGACACATATTTCATAGTTGTCTTTTGTGGATGGCTGTTCATCTGTCCTAAATACATTTTTTTAAATGGTATGTTTTGTTGAGTTTTTATACCTTATAAGACGCGGGAATCCCACAATTCATTTGGAGCATTTTGTTTGGCAAGCCACAAAAGGAAGTTTCCCTGACGCCCCCCCCCCCCCCCCCCCCTGGTCTGTTACATTCTACATTCAACTAATACTGGAATTAATAAAAACTAAACTAAAACTAAGCATTTTCAAAAAATAAAAACTAAACTTGCAAACGTGCTTTAAAAACTAATTAAAACTAAACTGAAATTGAAAACAAAAAGTCAAAACTAAATAAAAGTAAAAACTTGTGAAAAATTCAAAACTATAATAACTTTGCTTGGAGGCGGCTGTTCGTGGGTGCGAAAGTAAGTTAGTCGGCTTCAGAACAAAGGTTACGACTGATTATGAACTTTATGATTCTAGGTTTTGAACCATAAATAAAGCTTTTGAGAGCTAATTACAGACACTACAGACGTCTGCTCATGCATGTCTCCTTTTGTCTTTCAGGATGAGATACGCCCCCAGTTTGAGGCCAAATACTCCAAGAAGGAGAGGATGAACCCCATATCTGGAAAGCCTGAACCTCACCAGGCTTTCAGCGACAAATACAGTCGCCTCATTGTCTCAGCATCTGGGATCTTCTTCATGGTAATTGCAGCTCTCATCCTTGTCTTAGAGGACATTTAATGTCAATGGAAGATTTTGAGCGCTGTTGTCACTGCGTGACTCTATGTCCCTGCAGATTCTGGTGGTGATTGCCGCCGTGTTTGGCATTGTCATATACCGCGTCATCACCGTCAGCACCTTCGCCGCCTTCGGCTGGGCGCTCATCAGGAACAACTCTCAGGTGGCGACCACAGGAACAGCGGTGTGCATTAACTTCTGCATGATCATGCTCCTCAACGTGGTGAGTGTAAAGTGGTACAGAAAAAATGACATCAACCCAAGCCTGACACAAAAAATAGTGTATTTTTTTGTTAAACAATATAAAGTTCACACACAATTCAAAGTCTTTCCCCATTAATGGGTGACAACGTTGCATTTTCTTCCAGCTCTATGAAAAGGTTGCTCTTCTCCTCACTAATTTAGGTAAGTTGATTACAGCAGCAGATCGAATGTTCTTGGAGCTGAACGGGGGATGCAGACTTAATTACTACTGTACATTAGTGTTGGCTCCGTACCGTTGTTATCAGTTTCTCTCCTTGCCACCACAGAACAGCCGAGGACAGAGTCAGAGTGGGAGAACAGCTTCACACTCAAGATGTTCCTTTTTCAGTTCGTCAACCTCAACAGTTCAACTTTCTACATTGCCTTCTTCTTGGGAAGGTAAGAAAAGTTCTGCAGAACGAGTAACAAATATAGTTTGACCAGTGCAAACATTTGCGATGTGAATATATACAAAATGAACTGGACTTCCCTTATATTTGGGCGGCAAATATACTGTTTGGGGAAACACTGTTGACCCGTGTGTTATCTGTCACGGTGTGGTTCACTTCATGTTATATTTTGTAGTTTTCTGCCACTTGTGTCCCCGGGTAACTTCACTTCCTGCCTTGTCCGGTTGTCCCCTGTGATCGTCTAATAGTTTCCACCTGTGTCCAATCACCTGCACCTCCCTTGTGTATTTAAGCTGTGTGTCACTTGTCGCGTCACTCCAGTTGGCTGGGATGGACTCCAGTTGGCTGGGATGGACTCCAGCCCCCCCGCGACCCTGTGTGCAGGATAAGCGGTTTGACGATGGATGGATGGATGGAGTAATTTCCAACCGAAAAGCAAGCCGGGGATTTCAAATTTTAAAAGTTAAAAACAGATGTGGTACACAATTTATTTAGTTACTTAGTGTCCTCAGTACGGCCTCTGGGTCAAAGGTCAACGGTTATTAAGCGCAACCAAAGATTCTCTCTCACACCAGCAGAGGGGGCTGGAGTGCTTAGTTTTTTCTGCATCATCCTTATGGCCCCTTACTATATGTTTTCACACAGCACTGCCCGCATAATGATAATGCAGGTATGATAAGTCAGGTATCCACTGGAGTGCAGGAAAATGCGTTCAGATACTGGGCTGTATAAAGAGAGTTGATTTTCATTTTCTCTGACAGCACAACACATCAGACAAGAATTTCCATTGTGTTGGACATCTTTGCGTTTTATTGCCCAAACACATGCAAATAATCATTTGAAAGCGGGGGCTTGTCCTCTGGCATGAATTACTTCGATGGGGTGTCCTTTCTACAAACTCCGTTCTTGATTATTAAAAGCAAGGGACAGGGGAGGCAAACTGCATTTTGGTTCCTATTAAGGCAACTCCTCTCCTCTCTAAGAGGATTATCTCTGACACACACTCGGGAGTTACATAACGCTGTCAGGGGATAATATCGGACATTTCCTAACATCCTGCATCCTGCAAGTGAAAAAGTAATGGTGAAATAAATTGTGTTGATAATGATTGTTGGAGCTCTGCAAGATTTTTTCTTCACTTGTTAATCCTCTTTTCCAGCCGTTGCATGTTGCAAACGGCACGGTGGAATGAGTGGGCCACTCTGCCATTGCAGTCATGTATAGCAGTGGTCCCCAACCACCGGGCGGTCTGCAGGCCGTTTGGTACCGGGCCGCACCACAGAAAGAATTTATTGTTTTTTTTCTGAAAAATATTTCGGTCTGCGAAATATAGCCTAACATGAAAACGTTCCGTGAGGTAAAAAAGGTTGAGGACCCCTTTACACCATGTATAGTAATGAGACAGTCCAATAACAGAAATTCAGCCACTTTGACTCAAGTGCAATGTTGTCTGTTAAATAACAAAACAACGAATGTCCTAGTTTCATTTGTTATCACCCATGAAAGCAACGTGATCTCCAAAACCTGTTCGTAAAAATGTATACGAAATATTTGACATAAAAATTCGTAACAATACATACTAACCCCCTTGACCCCCTTGAGTGAACGTCTCTCCGCCATTTTTGATTCTGATGAAAGAGAAAAATGACACCAAGTTCGGCTCTGTAAAGCTTTTCATCTTAAAGTCACAATTGTGCGAGGGGACAAGGGAAAAGTGTGGGACGAGTGCCCGCAGGGTCCGTAGATATGATTCAAGTTTACAAGATTAAAATAAGTCAAAGAGGTTTTCACAGCTTGTTATGACTTCAAGAGGCAACACAAATACCAGAATAATGTAGCCTTTTAGTCTTCGATCAGACAAGGTTACATTTTTCCTTGTAAAGGTTAAAGGGACGTCGTCCTAAAAGTTACTCTGTTGTGGCCCGAAACAACCGCATCAAATCAGTTACACTGGAAACATCAACCAACCCAGGAGTGAATGAACCAGAACCCGGGCTCGCTGTGCAGGCCAGTGTGGTGGTGGATTGAGTGAGACCGCTGCATGAATTAGATGTTTGATCGACGTCATGGCCAAATCAACAGTATGTGCTGGAGGACCCGGGATTCACGTGCATCAGGTGAAAAAAAGATGTTTTACCTGCTGCTTTGTAACCCTCTTACACAACCCCTCACCAAAAAACATTTGTTATTGTTTGCGCTTTATTTGTGCACCATGAACTGAACTAAGAATCCCTTTGAGAAAGCTTTTCAGCAAAGAGCCCTTTCAACAGTCAACATTTCCTTTTGGAATTGAGTTACTCAATTTTGATTACTACAACGGCCAAAATATAACTAAATTTTTGTCGTCTTGAACTTGCTGACCTCTCAATTCCACCAACGTCTGATCCCACTAGCTATTCATCAAACATTTTGAACTTGGTGGATATTACTTGTTCCATCAATGTGGCGCAGCCTCAGGCTTTGAGTGACAGATCATATTATTTAGTGAACCTGCTCGACTTGCACAAAGGAAAGGTGGAAAGGCAGCGCACATTTTCTGTAAAGTACATATTGCCCAAAATATTTCTTAATTCAGTTATTAGTTCCCTCCCCAAATCCCTCTTCACCTTGAATCTTTCCATTCTTCAGAGGCTCAGCACATGTTTCCCCCCCGTAACCTACACCGCGTGCCAGAAGCATGCGTCCTTTAAATATCAACCCTGCCTGGTGTTTAAATATCCAATAACAAGTTCTGCATGTGAACTTCGCCGTTTGCAATCATAAACATTAGAAAGCTTGGTTCTTATGTCACATCCTGGATTATTGATGTACAAGTCGGTAAAACAAAAAAAAGACTCCTGCTGTTTTCTGTCTGCAGTTGCCAGGCTGATGCAGCCATAACTCTACCCCCTCCCACCCTTTTTTTCTCTTTCTCCTTCTGATGCTTTCACTCTTGATATCTGTAGGTTTTAGCTTCTATCTTTGTCTTTTAAACCGGTTTTCCCTGCGGAGTCAGTTTGACATCCTGGATATATAATTGCAAAAAATGCATATTGCAGATTACGTCTGCTTCTCTCTAAATCCCTTGATCGTTTCCACAGGGAGGACAGGTAGTGACAGTGTGATAGAAAGTAATAGCAGTATTTTTGATACTCATAGTAACTTTAAATTGTCCTTGATCATAACCCAACTCTCTTTGGATAGGAACAGTGGGAAAGTCTTCAAACATAGTATTTTACATTACATTACAGGTCATTTAGCGGACACTTTTATCCAAAGCGACTTACAATTTAAACCCATGGCTTTAAATTCCTGGAAGGAAGACTCACTCTTCTGCCAACTCCGGAAGCACCATCAGACGAGACATGGGTCTGATGTAAGTTTGACGGCCGACTTGGACGTCAACTGACCGTACGCGTCCATCTCTACCGGCCGTGACAGCTGTAACTCGACCTGTTGGCCAAGAGGCCCGAGGCAGTTGTGGGTCAAGGATCAGAACAGTCTTCCCTACTTCCAGATTCTGGATTTCCCTCAGCCACTTTCCTCTGCGTTGTAGGTTAGGCAAATAGTTACGAATGAACGGTGTCCAGAAATGGTCGGCCAACATCTGGCTACTTCCTTCGCCCAAGGAGCTTGCTGTTGGCAAAGATGGCTTGTGGGAGGGAGGTGTCCCGCCACCCCATCAGGAGCAAATTGGGAGTGACAGGATCAGGATCACTGGCAGCAGATGAAAGATAGCCTAAAGGCTTTGAATTCATAATGCCTTCTACCTCAATCAGGACAGTGTGAAGGACAGCTTCCGAAGTGGTCTGATTCCCGAGAATCACTCTTAGGCGTTCTTGACGGATCTGAGTTCGCGCTCCCAGACTCCTCCAAAGTGTGGAGAACCTGGCGGATTGAAGTTGAATTATATCTGCTGATTGGCCAAGTGTTCCTGAAGCTGAGGTTCCATGGCCTGGAAACATCGATTTAACGCCCTGTCCCCATATACGGCAAGCATATACGTGCTGGGCATCTCGCAGGGCCACACATTGTAATAAACTTCCGCGCTGCGGAAGGATCGTTCCCCTGTCTGCCCAGATCTCGAAGGGCTTGCCATGACGGGAGATGAAACGACGGAGTGCTAGGAGAAAGGCATCAACATCCATCATTCCAAGCAAATCCAGATGTAAGCAACGAGTGGTTAAGCATTTGAAGATAATTCCCCATCGCTTTTCTGTTCTACGGCCATGGTGAATGATAAAGGGTCCGAAACAGTCTACACCGGTAGACCAGAATGGTGGTTTAAAGAGACGCAGCCTTGCAGCGGGCAGATCAGCCATCTTGGGCACTTTAGGAGAGGATTTCCACCTCTGGCACTCCCTGCAACCGTGCTGATGTTTACGGATGGCTGGTCTTCCTCCCACGATCCAGTACTTGCGTCTCAACTCTCGTCTCGTCTCACTCGTCTCAAGACCCTCTCTGGGCCCGGATGCAGCAGGAACTCGTCATATTGCTTAATTATGAGCTGCATAGTGGGATGCTTTGGGTCCAGAATGATTGGGTGGATGATGTCTGGGTCCAGGTCCCGGGATCTACGGAGTCTTCCTCCCACCCTCATCAGCCCAACATCTGGATACAGTTCAGGAGAGAGTTGGAGTAGACGACTTTGCCTAGAGAGAGGCTTTCCTTTATGGAGAGCGTCAAGTTCTTCAGGGAAGCAGGACTCCTGGGCTTGTTGCAAAAGGAAAGTTTCCGCTGCTGCACCTTTGGCCACTTCATCGGATTGGGTCAATGTTTGCTCAGTGGCAGTGATGAGGTCACTCCTGCTTTGATGCTGAGAGGCATTCGGCCATGTACTGGTGGCAGCAGAAACATTCAGGCACATAGCAGCTTTCCTTAATTCAGTGCTGTTTGCGAGTGATGAGATGTGGAAGACACCCGGCGCAACAGGCCAGCAAGTCTGTTGGTGTTGAAGGAAGGAAGGTCCGTCCGTCCAGCAGTTAGGTTGAGCTAGGTCACCCAGTGTCTTGCCTCGGGTCAGGGCATCTCCAGTCATCTGAGTCTGAGTTCTTGGATCTCTGCAGTGGCACGACTCAGACTTCAACCAGGTCAATACTGTTGTGGAGTCACTCCAAAGGATGGTTCGGGCCAATGACAAGGTTGAAGTTCAGACTTCAAGGTAGTGGCCCAACTGCGCCCCTAACCAGACAGCACTCAGTTCAAGTTGAGGCATTGACAACTGTCTCTTTGGTGACACTCTAGAGCGGGCCATGACGAATGCCACATGAACATGATTTTGGCTGTCATGGACACGTAAATAGACCACGGTGCCATAGGCCCTTTCCGAGGCATCACAGAAGACATGCAGCTCTCTGTATACACCTGACTGGTCAGCACAAGAGGGCACATATCAGCGAAGCAGTCTGATGCGTGGGAGCCTCTGCCGGCCATTGATTAAGAAAACTAGGACTACCTTCAACATCACACGGGGAGATCTGTTTGGCTGATCTATGTACAGAGTGTCGGCAGGGCAGGGTGCACTGACGAGCAGATTGAGGATGTTCCCCGTAGCTGATTTCTCTGAGCTATGGGGGCCTGTGGATGGTTGAGGTACGATATTATGCAGGATGGTGAGATGAAACTCTTTGCAGATGTTGCAGGGCTTTTTGAGGGTGCAGTTATCTGGCTTATGACAGCAGGCACATCTGTAGCAACAATCATTCTTCTCTATCCATGTTCTTGGTTGTGATGGGCTGAACTCCTTCACTTTCCCAGGAAGTGTTCCTTGTTGTTACAGTATTGACAAAAAGGTTGGCACTGGTTTCCCACGGATGATCGCCCCCCCTTCCACGGCTCTGTTGGACATCAGGCTGGCTCTCCACAGTGGCTGTGTTGCTCAGGTACATCGTCGGCGTAGCCCTTCTCCCCTGGTTTGTCTGGACTGGCTCTCGTCTCTCCATTAACGGAAGTCCCGAGGCTTGTTGGGCAATACTCTTGGCCTGGGCTTTAACCTGGAGCCATGCCGAAAAGTCTTCCAAGGTGTATGTTTGTTCTGAACCCTCTCTTAGGATGCCACGAAGCAGGCAGTGCTCAATGAAACCGTCTCGGTTTTGAATAGGAAGTTTGGTAAGTAGCCTGTCTACGTGAGAGCCACATCGCAACGCACTTCCGTCTGCACCTTCCACTGACCGCAGCATGCCAATCAATGAATGCACAGAAAGAGCAAAGTCCTGGAACGCGTTGCTGTCACCAAGTCTGACAGGTGGTGAATGAAGGATGCTAGCGATTTCGCTTTGGACCAACTGCTGTGGCTGGCCATACTTTGCCTTAAGGGCAGCAAGAGCAGATGTGTAGGGAGTTGAGGCGTGCATATAAGACTTCGCTAGTTTGTATGCACTTGGCAGCCTCAAGTGATCCATAAGGACCTGGAACTTTTACTGTTCAGAAAGGTGAGCGTGGATATCTAACAGATTCTCCAGCACCATGTTAAGCAGAACAAAGTCACTTTCCTTTCCACTGTCAAAATAAGGCAATCTTGGCTTCGGGACGCCAAAGGCAGTCGCCACTAATAGCTCCATGATACTAGCGCCCTCTGATACCCTCTCAGTGGGGCTAGGCAGGGAAAGAGGTGCAGGTTTCTCACAAACTGGATCTGAAGGCCTTTGACTCCTAGCCGGACGAGGTGCGGTCAGCGCTATATGGTGAAAAGAAGGAGGTGAGGGAGCTGCATGCTCTGGAATGGAAGGTTGAACTACTGGGTGACCCTCTGTGGTGGGATAGGAAGTCGCAGCCTGACTCACAGCATCTACGGGTAGACTCACAGCTGGAGGTAAGTGTTGGAGCAGAGAAGGGGATCGTCGACCCACAGGAACTGGATAGGAGGCAGATATTTGAGGACCCGCAAAGGGAAGAGGTTCGGCTGAATATAGAACTCTGGTTCTCGTGGAGAAAGGAGCCAGCACTTGAGGTGGGTCATTCACACTGGACATAGCCGGCAGAGCGGGTGGATGTTCTGTGGTCATTCCTACATCTCCTGTGAAGGATGTTATTAATCGAGCCTCTTCCAATTCTCTTTGGACTTTCCGCAGCCGTCGCTGTAGAGTAAGAGACCGGGTCATCCTCTCTCGCTCCTTTAAAGCTTCTTGTGCTTGCCTATCCAGTTATTGTGCCCGTTCATCTATAGCTTGTTCCTCTTTAATCTGATTCTGCATCTCCTGCAGTTCTCCAAGTTTTCTCCTCTCCCCAATCATGGCCGCCCGGAGAGGGGTGAGCTCGACCTGCCGGCTCCTGTGTGAGCTTTGGGAACTAGCTAGAAGAGAAGGACCTTGGTACTGGCTCGCGCTTGCCTCTAGATCTGCTGGGTCCCACCTCTCCCAGATGGGGTGAAGCTGACGCCGACTGTGGAGCTGGGTGTAGAGCGGGCTGTAGAGCTGGGTGTAGAGCGGGCTGTAGAGCTGGCTGTGGAGCTGGTGGCTCTCCCACTGCTGATTCAGGCTGGCCGTAGTTGTGGCTGACTTCCTCTTCCTCCAACGCCAGGACATCAGCAGCATCTGGGGGTGGAGGCAGTTCGCCTGCTTGGCTGTGATGAGGGAGGCTTTTGGGCTTCTTCCTGGAGATTCCTCCAGGGTCCGAGAAGCCATAGCGGTCAGGTTACCGTCTCTTTACTACTGGTTCCAGCTTGGGAAGCCTTCTCTTCCAGGTCCAAGTCTCTTGACTCCTTACCATTGCCTGCCATGGTATCACTCACTCAGTCTCCGGCTCGAAGGACCATTGAAGGAACTTTAGGGGTGATGTTGTTTGGGGGGAGTGAATGTTGGGTGAGCAGACAGAGTCTCGGTCAGAAGACCCGAACGGCAAGGAGTGAGAAAACGATGCAAGGCAGGTTGGATGTAACACCAGTAGTTTATTTCCTTTTTGTGAGCTTGAGATTTCTTCTGTGTGCTGCATCAAAAACAAACAAAGAAACAATACAATTAAATTAAATAACGGAGTGGTCAATCAAACAACAAACAATCCTACATGGCTCCTGGCACATGTCTGAGAACAAAGGAATTTGTCAACGTAGGACATGTCACAAAAAGGCATCAAAGTCATAAAAAATAAACAATCAAAAGGATAAATTGAATTGACCACTCACGTTAACTTGAATACGCACACTTTAGGATACGCTGGAGTACTGGCAGGGAGTGGAAAAGGGTGAACTGCCAGGGGAGCAGACTATTTATAGTCTCCGCCTCCTTAGCCAGCAGGTGAAGCTTGATTGATTATGAATGAATGATTGATTGATTGGTGAAGCTGCTGGACTCAGTCATTCATAAAGAAATTAACAGAAAAAAAGAACCCAGGTTCCAGGGAGTCTTTTCAGTGACACTGCATGAAAAGTGAGATTTTCGTCCCCGTAAACACTGCATGAAAAGTGAGACGCCCGGAAATCTCCCTAATTGCTGACAATTTCCGACAATTTGCAACCCGCGCACGTCGCGTTTGTCTGTGCCACAAATTGTCGGAAACGAACCATGACGTAGGTGGAGAGCTGGCGGAGGCGCGAATGGCCCGAATTAGCACATGAATGCAGCGAAACCGCGGGTGGCCGAGCCGAGCGGGCTTGAATATCCTTACTCCTTATTGGATGAAACCACTCGTGATTGGCAGCAAAACCACACATGGGCAGACCAGGCTTGAGTTTCCTCGTTCATGATTGGATGAAAACACAACCTTCAATCACTCTGCCAACTCATTGGTTGGCAGATCTTTCGCTATTGATCACCCGCCTCATTTTATTTATATATATTTATATATTCATATTATGCTGTATATTCATTTCATGGTTATCCTATGTAGGTTACTACACTATTATTAGGATACCAACCAGGACATCAATGAATTTATAGAGAAAATGAACATTTGCCACATGTTTA